TGCACACGTAGCCTTCAGGGAACCAGCACAGGGCAGCTCTGGGGCACGTGTGGAAACACGCACCCTCATCCACATGCACATATGTACCCATGCACATGCGTGGCCTTCCAGGGGGCATACTCAGGACAGGTGTGGAGCTCCGGTGACTTCCGATTCCTCCCTCGTCTCAGCCTCGACTCCCCATCTGTAAAATGGGGATACGACATATACCTCCCAGGGCTGTTGCGAGCATCCACAGAAAGAGGGTTGATGAAAGAACCCTGGGAGACAAGTGGCCTAATGCTATACTTCAGGTACGGTGTGCTGAGGCCCAGGGAGGGACAGAGACTGGCCCGGGTCACCGGGCAAGCTGAGCACAGATTGGCTAGAGCAGTGGCCTCTTGATTCCTAGGGCCAACGCACCAAGCTCAGGGTATGGCCCAGAAAAGAGCAAGGCACTGTCAGAGCCGAGCGCTTGCCCTTGCACCTGAACTTGCGTGTAGGTGCCGTTTTAGAAAGAACGTACATTGTAAACGCCATTCATCCTCACACACTCACCATCCTCTGCCTCGGGCTGCCCTTTGCGGAGCCTCGGCCCCAGCAGGCACACGGAGGGCTCCAGGACGCTCAGCTCGCTTAGCACGTTTTCCTGGCTTTGTGCCTGCAAGTTCACACTGAGTTCTTGCGTATCTGCTGGCCTCTTTATTGACATTGTATTTTTTTAAAGTTTATTTATTTAAGATTTATTTATTTATTTGAACAAGTTACAGAGAGAGAGAAAGAGGGAAGTAGAAAGAGAGATCTTCCATCTGCTGGTTCACTCTCCAGATCGCTGCAACAGCCAGGGCTGGGCAAGGCCGCAGGAACCAGGAGCTTCATCTGGATCTCCCAGGTGGGTGCAGAGGCTCAAATACTAGGGCCATCGTCTGCTGCTTTTCCTGGGCCATTAGCAGGGAGCTGGATTGGAAGTGGAGCAGCTAGGACGTGAACCAACACCCATATGGGATACCAGCATTGCTGGCGTGGCTGCACCCTCTATGCTTCAGTGCCGGCTGAATTTATTTATTTTAAAGGTAGAATCACACACACACACACACACACAGAGAATTTCCCATCTGCTGGTTCACTCCCCAAATGGCCACAATAGCCAGGCTGGCCAAGCTGAAGTCAGAAGCCCAGAACTGCACTTGGGTCTCCTCCAGGCATGGCAGGAGCTCAGACACAGCGGCTCAAACATGTGAGCCATCATTTGCTGCCTCCCAGAATGCGTTTGCAGAAAGTGGGACTGGAAGCTGAGCAGCCGGTGCTCAAACTGATGCAGGTGCCCAAGCAGCAGCTTAACCCACTGCCCCTCAGCACCACACCCACCTCAAGACGGTGCATTCTTTTTTTTTTTTTTTAAGATTTTATTTATTTGACAGGTAGAGTTATAGACAATGAGAGAGAGACAGAGAGAAAGGTCTTCCTTTTCCGCTGGTTCACTCCCCAAATGGCCGCCACGGCCAGAACTATGCCGATCCGAAGCCAGGAGCCAGGTGCCTCCTCCTGGTCTCCCATGCAGGTGCAAGGCGCCCAAGCACTTGGGCCATCCTCCCCTGCCTTCCCGGGCCACAGCAGAGAGCTGGCCTGGAAGAGGGGCAACCGGGACTAGAACCCGGCATCCATATGGGATGCTGGCGCTGCAGGTGGAGGATTAACCCAGTGAGCCATGGAGCCAGCCCCAAGACGGTGCGTTCTTAACATGTGCTCCGGGTGATTCCTAGGCAGGCGTTTAGGAGCTGCTGTCGGAGAGACCTGGGGCCGGAGGGCAGCGCAGGAACAGTGCCGCATGAGTTAGAGCCCTAGTCATTCCACGTAGTCACACACAGTGTTTTATGTCCTCACTTGACCCAACGTTACTGCAAGTAGCAGAGGGGGAAAAAAAACACACGCTTAGGATCCCAACATGAATAGTTAATTAGGATCGCAGATAGACAGCTAACAGAAACACTCGTGTATATTCAGAAACACTGGCAAGATTGTGCATGGCAGCACTGCTTGTAGTGGCTGCAAATTGGTAATAACCCACGTGTCTCCCAGCAGCAGAATGAAGAGATAAAAATTGTAATATAGGGGGCTGGCACTGTGGCATAGTGGTTAAGCCACCATCTGGCATCCCATATGGGCACTGGTTCATGTCCTGGCTGCTCCACATCCTTTTCTTTTCTTTCTTTTTAAAGATTTATTTAATTGTTTGAAATTCAGAGTTACACAAAGAGGAAAGGAGAGGCAGAGAGAGAGAGAGTGAGCGAGCGAGCTTCCATCCTCTGGCTCACTCTCAATTGGCTGGAATGGCCGGAACTACACTGATCTGAAGCCAGGAGCCAGGAGCTTCTTTAGGGTCTCCCACATGGGTGCAGGGGCCCAAGGACTTCAGCTGCTTCTGCTGCTTTCCCAGGCCATAGCAGAGAGCTGGACAGGAAGTGGAGCAGCCGGGTCTCGAACCAGCGCCCATATGGGATGCCGGCACTGCAGGCAGAGGCTTTACCTGCTATGCCACAGTGCTGGCCCCTACTGCACTTTCAATCCATCTCCCTGCTAATGCACCTGGGAAACCAACAGAGGATGGCCCATGTACTTGGGCCCCTGCACCCACATGGGAGACTTGGGTGAAGCTTCTGGGTCCTGGCTTTGGCCTGGCCCAGCCCAGGCCATTGTGGCCATTTGGGGAGTGAACCAGCAAATAGAAAATCTCTCTCTCTCTCCACACTCTCTTTCTCTCTCTGCAACTCTTTTAGTAAATGAATAGATATTAAAATAATAATGATTTGTAATATATTTGTGCTATGGACTAATTTAGCTTGTGAAAGTAAAATATGCCATTGCTACAAGCAAAAGCGTGGATGAGTCTTACAAACAACGTGGAGTGAAAGATACAAAAGAATACATAATGTAATTTGTGCTTCCGTTTATAAGAAGGTTGTAAATCAGTCATGGCGTGGACTGGGTCAGGCAGGAAGGCGTTCTCTGTGTTGTTCTGTAGACATAGACATTTGTGAAAGTTCATCAAGCTGTGCAAGTCCTGTGTGTGGACTCTACCAAGTGTGTGTCATACTCCATGTTTTGAGAAGTTAAGAAAAGAGGCAGGTGGCTTAACCTGCTATGCCACAATGCAGGCCCCAAGAACACCATTTTTAAGTTCCTGATCCATATTAGTTATTTAACAAATATGTATTGAACTGCATGATCTCACTTATATGTAAAAAAAAAAGTTGAACTCATAGTAACATAATAAAATGGTAGTTACCAGGGTCTGGGAGGGGAGCTGAGGGATGCTCTTGTTCAAAGGGTATAAGGCTTTAGTCATGAGTAAGTGCAGGAGACCTGGGGTACAGTACTTACCTGGGGTACAGGAGACACTGGTGACTGCCGTTAACAATGACGTATGCTTGACATTTGCTGATGGAGCCCTCAGATGTTCTCACCAACACACACACATACAAAGTCAGGTGATGTGTCTGTTAATGAGCTTGATAGTGTGGTAATCATTTCACAGTGTGCAAGTGTCAAAACATCACATTGCACACCCGAAATATAACACAGCTTTTATTTGTTAGTAATATTCAAGAATGCTGAAAAAATGTTTGTTAAATGAATGAATTTTTGGGGTGTCACCAAAGCACTACTCAGAGGAAAACATACAGCTTAAATCTCCTCATTATATTAAAAGAGAAACTTGAAAGCATGGGAACAACTAAAGTTTAATCCAGGAGGCTAGAAAAAGAAGAAAATAAACCCAAAGGAAGTAGAAGGAAGAAAGTGGTAAAGTTCATAGTAGAAAGATCAAAACAGAAACAACCAAATAAAACCAAAAATCAGTACAGGTGATCACCTAAACAAAATGCCAGTTCTTTGAAAAATCTGATAAGAATTGGCCAGCCTTAGGAATAACTAAGGAAAAGAATATAATGGGGCTGGCGCTGTGGCACAGTGAGTTAAAGCTCCGGTCTGCAGTGCCAGCATCCCATATGGGCTGCTCCACTTCTGATCCAGCTCTCTGCTTTGGCCTGGGAAAGCAGTAGAAGATGGCCATGTCCTTGGGTCCCTGCACCCGCGTGGGAGACCTGGAAGAAGCTCCTGGCTCCTGGCTTTGGATCAGCACAGCTCCAGCCATTGCAGCCATCTGGGGAGTGAATCAGCGGGTGGAAGACCTTTCTCTCTCTGCAACTCTGACTTTCAAATAAATAAATAAATCTTTTTTTAAAAAAAGAAAAGAATATAAGACACAGTTATGTAAAGAACAAAAATAAATTCAGGGGTTGAAAGAGAACCCTGACTCCAGACACAGGGGAGATTTAAAAACACAGGAGAGCAGTAACAAAGCACAGTGTGGGGGAGGAAGCACCGGCCCTTGCAGTGAAAACAGACAGCTTCTGGACTTTCCTGTCTCGCTGGGATCGAAGTAATGGGGGACCAGGCCGAGAAATACCGCCACGGGCTGCCGTGTGTCCTGCCTGCGCCTTCACCCCTCCCTGGGCTTTGAGCTAGAGGGGGCTGGCACTGTGCGGAGTGATCTTTGGGCGCTCCCAGCTCGGCTCTGCCTCTCTCCACCTACGGGATGCCCTGAAGGCACAGGGTCCCCTCTCTCTCTCCCAAAGCTCATAGGCCTTTCCTTCTGGGGTGGTCTGGCTCAGCACAGCCTCCAGCCAGGCTCACTCAGTGGGAGGTCGGGAGGGGCCCCACCCAGAGGCTCCGCCTTGCTCCGGAAAGCTGGCGGGGCCAGGGCCCAGGGCCAGAGGACTCCAGGGCAGCGTGGATGCTGGCCCCCGAGAAGAGGGTGGCCACCTCGACTCCTGAGTGTGTCTCTACTGCAGAACCCTGGCTGTTCTGCATGGTCAGTGCTTCCTGGTGGCATGTGGGGCAGCGCTGAACAGGACTCTCCCTATAAAAGACATGTGTCCAGATAAATGCAAACAAGTTCATTGTCTGTAGCCCACAGTTGATAAATAATAATATGCAATACTCCTCATTGCAAATTCCAGACATGTCACCTCAGTGCTGCTGTTCCTCATGAAGGCTGTGCACAGTGTCAGTCATCCTGTCACCAACGACAGCGTCACAGAAGCAGAGTGCGAACCGGCGCTGGTGACCGTGGGAGGCAGCAGAGAAGTCCCCCCCCACACACAACCGTCACCAAGCATCGTTCTTTGGTGCATGCCGATTGATATTTGCGTTTATGCTCACAAAGAAGGCAAAAATGGGGGAAAAATAAAGGAAGACGTATGGTGGAACTTGTTCATGAATGACTTGGGCAACTTTTTGGCTGATCAGATAATTGGTTCAAACGTTAGAATTTCCTTGTTTTAAAAATGCTTTATTCAGGGCTGGCGCTTGTAGGCTAAGCCTCTGCCTGTGACGCCGGCATCCCATATGAGCGCCAGTTCGAGTCCCAGCTGCTCCTCTTCCGATCCAGTTCTCTGCTATGGCCTGAGAAAGCAGCAGAAGATGGGCCAACTACTTGGGCTCCTGTACTTGCACGGGAAGACCCGGGAGAAACTCCTGGCTCCTGGCTTCGGATTGGTGCAGCTCTGGCTGTTGTGGCCATTTGGAGAATGAACCAGTGGTTGGAAGACCTTTCTCTCTGTTTTTCCCTCTCTCTGTCTATAACTCTACCTCTCAAACAAATGGATAAAAATCTTTTTTTTTTTTTCAAAAATGCTATTGTTCATAGGCCAAACGGCTGTCCTAGCCATCAAGAAGCTGGGGCAGAGCAGAGGAGCCGGTGGTCATCCCCCGAGTAAATACGGGAGACACCCGGCTGGGGTGGACAGGGCGGGCTCAACACATGGCTGTAGATGTAACAGACTTTAATCTGCATTATTAGTGTTATCTCCACCTCTTTCTCCAGTCCAGCCTCCAGACTAGAAAATCAATGAAACACCTGCTCTGTATAGCGCATGCCCACTTCCGTGGTCTAAGTCCTCCTACTGCAGTCAGTTTCCAGCTAGCAACGCGATGTCACTCAACGCAGTGGGGAAGGACGCTGGACAGCACGTACAGTATTTGCACCACACTCACACAGTAGCCTCGCGGACACAAGTCCCGGAGAAGAGGTGAAGTTAATCCGACAGTGGTAAGTTTTGAGCATCACTTGTGTCTCAGATCTTAATTATTGAATTGTGAGTTTATCAGCTTTATTTTTCATGTCTCTGCCTAAGCACTGCCATGTGAGATTCCTGGAAACTTAGGAGTGAGCTCTCCAAAGCTGGTATGATGGCCTGGCTCCAGCCTGCCACATGGCCTCACCCTGCTCTGAGACCCTGATGCTGCTTCCTCCGTGATGACCTCCCTGATCATTGCAGGTAGAGACCATCTCTTCCTCCTGTGTACCCCAAAAAGGTGAGCCCTGGGTCCCATCTGCCTGTGTCCCCTGGGGCCTGGCACTACACGGGCTGCTTTGCTTGGTGGGCCTGTGTGTAAGCCATGGGTGGAACCAGTCCTCCCCACCCCAGCTCCAAGGCTTTCCCAGATTGCCCTGGCGCATGACCACCACCTCCATTCTGCCCCCTGCTGGCCACGTGGAAGCCATTGGACAACTGTTTGGCCTCAGTTTCCCCATCTGTCAAGTGCTAAGGGAAGAGGGGTGGAAAGAAGGAATGCAGAGATACTCTTTCTAGTCCCTTTTCTTGGGCCTGCGGTTGTGGGCCGTCGTGCTCTGTCTGTCCTTGCTGTTTAGTGTCCTGCGGCTTCTCGTGGAACGTGGAAGCAGTTTTCCGTGTTCCCATGTGGTTTTCACGTCCTCCACTGTGAGAGGGTGCAGGGGATGTTGTATTTCATGGGCCCCAAACTCACTTTACCTTTCCTTAATTTTGAGACATCTGTTTGGTTTCCTCCCATCGCCACCGGCTTGGCGTGTTCTCATTTCAGACAAGACCTGCTCAGTGAAGACACCGTAGATTTTACCACTGATCTGTGTGCTTTCCTCTCCATTTCCACCAAACACCGGTTGTGTTTGTGCCAGCTGAGAGCACAGATCTGAAAACCACGCATTCTTAGTGACTTGCGCCATCCCCAGCACCAGGCCTCCTGGAATGTGCAGGCTTTCAGCCCAGACTTTGTGAGCGGACACGACTGCCATTTGTGCTCTCGGGGTGTCTCGCCCATCAGTCACCCTGTCAAGCACTGCCTTTGGTGGGGGGGAGCAGTGGGCTGGTTTTGGGAGTCTCTGCTCCTCCCCCAGGAAACCAGACACAATGACTGAGCTGGCTGGAATCGCCTGCAAGAAAGCCCACGCACCAAGTGTCAGAGCCCCGATTCCAGTTAGCACGCAGCTGCCAAGGTCCTACAGGTGTACTGACTTTTTTTTTTTTTAAGATTTTTATTTATTTATTTATTTGCAAGGCAGAGTTATATAGAAAGAAGGAGAGACAGAGAGATCTTCCACCGACAGGTTCACTCCTCAAATGGCTGCAACGGCCAGGGCTGGACCAGGCCTGGAGTGTCATCTGGGTCTCCCGTGTGGGTGCAGGGACCCAAGCCCTTGGACCACCCTCCACTGCCTTCCCAGGAGCATTGCCAGGGAGCTGGGTCAGAAGTGGAGCAGCCAGACTCAAACCGGCACCCGTGTGAGATGCCACCCTCTGCGCCACAGTGCCGGCCCCCGTGCCGCTGTGGGTTTATATCCTGACTCTGCTGGGGTCTGGGGGCTGGGGTCTAGGGTCTGGGGTTAGGATGAGGATTCATGATCCTTAGAGCAGTGAACGTATTTGGTTGTAGAGAAGTCATAAGGTTGAACAAACACAGATGCTGATACTTCACCTGTGTGCTGAGCTCCAACCCTGCAGTTGGGTCCCTGAGCCCCAGCGTGGCAGTGTGGGGTGTGAGGACAGTGTGAGGGCACTCAGACCCGAGGAGCTTGTGTGCACGGCCAGTCAGGCAGGGCCGCCACTCCCGAGCCCGGTGTGAGGTCTGTGTGACTGGAACCCCGCCGTGCCTGCTCCGTCGCATGTCTGCTCATGTTTCCCGTGCAGGATGTGGGGAAACTGCCTTTAAGTACAATAAAGGAGCGACGGGCGATGAGCTCACAAAGCGTTTTGTTTGGGACGGTACCTGTTTGTCTGCGTGACTCTCCCCACATCACTAATACTGTCTCTGCAGCCAGGAGCCAGGCCACCCTGTGTGGCAGACACAGGCATCTCTCTGGAGTTCAGAAGGTCACGACCCAGTCTCCTCAGTTCCTTGTGTTGGACGTGTTCAGGACGATGGGCCTGCCCACGGGCAAGGGGTCGCTCGTGCCATCCCCAGGATCCCTGCGGGTGGCCCTCCATCCGCGAGGTGTTAGCCTCAGTGAGACAACACATCAGCACTGGAATCCTGACTCTGCTGCTGTGTGACCCTGGGTGGGGGGAGGAGTCATGCAACCCTCTCTGGGCCCAGAATCCACACACCTAGTGGTGTGGCCTCACACAGGCCCGCCTGTGTGCAACACTGGTTCTTGTTGTATTCCTTTTGTCCTTAAAGGAATTGGCCCCTTCTCTGGGCGGATTTGGTCATTGCTCTACCCACATCTACCTACAGCCGATGTCGGTGCCGCTTTGTGGGAGCACAGAGCTCCAGGCAGCTGGCAGCTGCCTGCCTGCACACAGGAGAACTGAAGGAAGCCAAGCCCCCTCTTTCCAGTCGCTGACGGTGCCCGGATGTAAGGGAGCTGAGCTCCCTTGTCCCTGGCTAGGATGACCACCACTGGGAAGACGCATAACACCTGTGTACAGGCAAGGGGTTGGTTAAACCTACTACTACATTAGCGGCACCCTTCTTCTTCTTCTTTTAAGGTTTATTTATTTATTTATTTAAAAGAGTTGGCCGGCGCCGCGGCTCACTTGGCTAATCCTCCGCCTGCGGCACTGGCACACAGGGTTCTAGTTCTGGTTGGGGCGCTGGATTCTGTCCCGGTCGCTCCTCTTCCAGTCCAGCTCTCTGCTGTGGCCTGGGAAGGCAGTGGAGGATGGCCCAAGTGCTTGGGCCCTGCACCCGCATGGGAGACCAGGAGGAAGCACCTGGCTCCTGGCTTCGGATCGGCGCAGCGCACCGGCTGCAACACACCGGCTGCAACACACCGGCCGTAGCGGCCACTTGTGGGGTGAACCAATGGAAAAAGGAAGACCTTTCTCTCTGTCTCTCTGTCTCTCACTGTCTAACTCTGCCTGTCAAAAAAAAGAGAAAGAGTTACACAGAGAGAGAAGGAAAGAGAGAGAGAGCGAGAGAGGTCTTCCATCTGCTGTGGTTCACTCCCCAATTGGCTGCAGTGGCCAGAGCTGTGCTGATCCAAAGCCAGGAGCTTCTTCTAGATTTCCTACACAGGTACAGGGGCCCAAGGACCTGGGCCACCTTATACTGCTTTCCCAGGCCATAACAGAGAGCTGGATCAGAAGTGGAACGGCTGAGTCTCAAACTGGTGTCCATGTGGGATGCCAGCACTGCAGGCGGCAGCTTTACCTGCTATGCCACAGCACCGGCCCCAGTGTCACCCTTCTTGAAGGTAGTTCCTGTGGTGCAGTTTTGCAAGAAAAAGTCCTCATTTTCAGGAAAGTCACTGACATGTTTAGGGGTTAAGGGGTGTGATGTATGCAGCTTGTTCTCAAATGGTTTACAAAAAATGATATAGCTTAGAGAAAATGGCGAAAAAAGAAAGAGAGAGAGAGAGAGACGACAATGGTAACAGTTGGTGGATTTGGTTAAAGGGTATAAGTGAATCCTTTATCCTAATTCTTGTAACTTTCCTGTAAACCTGAGGTTGTCTCCAAGTAACAAATTCAGTTTGGGGGCAGGTGTTTAGCTGAGCGATTGAGACGCCTGCCTCCATCAGGGTGCCTAAGTGTGACACCGACTCCGGCTCCTGACCCCAGCGTGCGACGCGTGCAGCCCCTGGAGGCAGTGCAGATAGCTCAGCTGGGTTCCTGCCGCCTGTGTGGGAGACCAGGGGCGAGTACTGGGCTCCTGGCTTCAGCCCAGCCGGGCTGTTGTGGGCAATTGAGGAATGAACCAGTAAACAGAACTCTCACTCTTAGATAAATAAATGATTCAATATTTTTAAGTTAACTTCTGTGTATTAGTTTGATATACACAAAGAATGCATGTATAAAATTGAAGTCCAGGTGATGGTATTCCACTCTGGTGTAGACTTGGGTAACTGGCTTCCCGGATGCTGCAGGGGCTGTTTCCGTGGCAGGCGTGGGTCTCTGAGGTGGGAGACGATGCCGCTCTTACCACTACCCTCTTGGGAAGCGCCTGCGCAGCCTTGGTCTGTGTGTGGCCTTGTCGAGGCCAAGGGGATGCTGTTGGAAGTGTGGGACCTCAGAGACACGTTGTGGTTTTCTACTGAGTGAGCAGGTGTATTGCCAAACCTATTTCCCCACAATCACCTGGGAAAGCCAACAGCCGAGTCTGCAGATGGAGGGGTGGGGAGCAGCTTCAGAGAGGGAGACACCGGCAGGTGGACCTGGTCCCGCTGCACAGGCCAGAGAGGAGACAGGACAGAGGGGAGGGCGCCGATCGTCCCAGCGCCCTGGGACCACGTGGCAGTCACGGCAGCCCTCAGCTGGGCCCTGCCTCGAGGGCCAGGCTTTCCCATGCCACCTCCTGCAAGCGTGTTTCTCACTACCGCTGCCCTCACTGTAGAGACGAGAAACAGAGCCTCAGAGAGCGGAGAGGCCCTTCCTGAAGACGCGTTACCTCCTAAGGGCTGGATTAAAGCCAGACCAGGAGTTTTAGCCCCAAACACCTTTCTGCTGGGCTGGACCTGCTGACCCATGGAGAGCCTGGGAGAGCCATGGCTAAGAGTGCCCCTGGGGGAGGGAGGACAGCTCTGCCTGGTGCCTCCTCACTAAACCCCCTCCGCCGCCATCTGGAACTCCAGTGGCCGCCTCTGGGCAGATCTCCTCGCCGCCCCTCCCGGCCCCAAGTTGCGCTCCACACAGCCGTCAGCAGCCTTTCCCAACACTGCTCTTGTATTGCGCCACTCCTCCGCTCTGATGTGGCCCACCACCGAGGAGGTCACTGCCTCCATGATGTCACTCCCTTCCGATGAGGTCACTCCCTCTAGTGTCGTCACACTTCTCAGAGGATGCCCTCCCCTGATGATGTCACTTCCTCTGGTGATGTCATTCCCTCTGAGGATGCCACCCTCCCTGAAGATGTCACTCCTTGCTTAAATACCTTGAAAGACCCTCAGCATGCAGAATGAACACTGCACGGTGGACCCCTGGGCGCAGAACTCCCAGGGTCGCTGCTGGGTCCAGGAGCCCCTTTCTGGCTTCTTCCTCTACCTACTGCTGCCAACGATAACACCTCTTCTGTTTCCTCAGACTGAAAAGTCCTCCCTCGCCCCCCTTCTCCACCTATCGGAGTCCGCCTGGCTCAGCTCCACCTGTCCCCTCCATGAAACTACCTCCAGGATTTCCCTGCCCTTAGCGTCATCCTCTAGCTCCAGTTTATGGCCCCCGTAGAACCACGCGCACATGTCAGCTCTGCATCTGCCTTGCCCAGCATCGAGGTGCTTCTCAGGAGAGCGGGCGGCTCCTGGGCCCTGGCCTGGGCTGGCTGCTGCTGCAAGATGCCAAGTGAGATGGCACAAGTTGCCCCGCGCAGCCAAAATTCATGACCTCGTGTTTTCCAGTAACTTCCGCCACTTCCATCGATTCAAGCTTCAGCTGCAACAAAAGTGGACCAAGCCAGGCTGTCTTTGTTAACTGTGTGCAGACAGAGCGGGCTGGCGGCCGGTGTGGGTGGTGTGGCCTCAGTGTCCGCCCTGTGCCCGGGGAAGCGTGCCGCCGGTCCCCAGCACCTGTGAAGCACCCTGGAGCGCCTGGGAGGCCTCTCTGTGTTCCTAATTTCATCCTAAACCACCTCATTGGCTTTAAGGGACAAACTGCCTGATCCCTTGGAGCTTCTGAGTTTTATGAGTTCAAAGATTTTTTTTTCATGTCTGTAGGTAGGTAGGAGAGAAGGGAATTTGAGTATGGGGTGTCGGGCTGTTCTATTTCCCGGTACCCTCCTCCCCCCATACACAATGCAAATGGCCTGTTCCTTAAGAGTATATTCCGTTGCTTTATTTTTAGTGAGGGGTTGTGAGCTGCTTTCTAGTTTCTTACGTTTTGGAAAGAATGAAGGACAGGTCGAGGGGACAAATATGCGAGAGTGATGGGTAGGTTTCAAGAATGTTTACCCAATGCAGGTAAGAGTCATTTGTCACTAAAAGGCTCCCCGTCCCCATCCCTGGGTCATCCTGCAGAAGGTCAAGTGGCCTCACGCACAGGGCCCATTCCCCGCATTCCTGCGGCGGGGGCTTGGCGGCAGGCGAGGCCACTGCTGTCGGGGCTGTCAGGGGCTGTCGGGGGATTAGGACGGGGTCCCCGATGCAGGGATCACTCACCCAGCCCCCACTCTTCCCCACCACAGCTGGGAAGCAGAGGCTTGGGGTTTTATCTGTTCCAGACAGACCTTTAGAAAAAGAAAGCAGCGGCCGGTAGCTTGAAGTCCAGCCATTTGGTGACCTCCAAAGACACTCACACCACGAGTCCAGGTTCCTTGCACACAGGCCACACAGCCTGCTGAGTGCCAGCCTTGGCCCAGAGACTCATCGGCTCGGCGATCATGGACAGGTAACTGCCCTTCCCTGGGCCTCCGTTTCCTCATTTATAAAACAAGGGATGGAGAAGGTACCGTCGAAGTTGGCCCCTGATTCTTCCCCTGTAACCCATGTGGCCATTCCGAGATAGGTATCCCCATGTAATGGATAAAGAAATGCGAGGCTCCCCAGGGAGGAGAATCCAGGCCAAGGTCGCCTTGTAAATAAGTGGGTTTGAATCCCCTAACTCCTGTTCCTTTCTGTGACATTGAAGCCCCCGTGGTGTGGTTGCCGTGGACATGCTCACAACGCCCTGTGAGCAAAGGGGCAGCTTGCTCAGAGCCTCAGGCACGGAGGCCTCCGCCGTAACCCTCACCATGTCCTCTGTAAGGGGGCGCACAGGCTGGCTCCTGGATGTTTGGTCACCTTGGTTTCCATCAGCACTCAAGGATCACCACAGGCACCAGAAGCAACCCTGGAATGACAAGAACGCAGCCGTCCGTCTCGGGCATGGCAGCAAAGGACATGCTGATACCAGGCGGAGAAGTGCAGGGCTGAGAGCGACCCCAGCCGGCCCCTCGAGCAGCAGTGACGCGGGACGTGTGCTGCCGCAGACCCCTCACCCCGTGTCCCTGCCTCGCTCCTGCTCTTCCCCGCCGACAAACCCTTCTCCTCCTCCTGCTGATGTCCTTCAAGGCCCAAGCAAATGCCACCTCTTCCATGTCACCTTCTCACCCCTACACCTCCCCCTCCACCAGTGCCTTGGCCCCCTGCACCCCCTGTACCACGTGCCAGGCGTGGCTCTGCGTTGCAAGGCTCTCCCGGGCCTCCCCTCTCCTTGTGAACAGGTGAACCTGCTGGAGCTAGGAGCAAGGCTGTCGGAAGATAAACGTTTAATGCTGTTGCATTGATATAGAAAAGATGCTAGTGGCCAGTGTTGTGGTGCCGTGGGTTAAGCCTCTACCTGTGATGCCGGCATCTCATATCAGAGCGCTGGTTCAAGTCCTGGCTGCTCTGCTTCTGATCCAGCTTCCTGCTAATGTGCATGGGAGGCAGCAGAAGATGGCCCAAATGCTTGAGTTCCTGCCACCACGGAGGAGACCTGGATGGAGTTCCTGGCTCCTGGCTTTGGCGTGGCCCAGCCTGGGGCCATTGTGGCCATTTGGGGAGTGAATCACCAGATGGAAGAACTCTAACTCTCTCTCTCTCTCTCTCTCTCTCTCTCCCTGTCACTCTGCCTTTCAAATAAATAAACAAATCTTTTCTTCTTTTAAAGAAACATGAGACGGACCCTCAGGGCTCATGTGTTCAGAATCCCTCCTGTACATGTGAGGAAGCTGATGGCTGCTCTCGGGGATGCTGTACCTCCCGGCCAGCCTTCCAGGCACCTGTGGGGCATCAGAAGAGAAGGCCCCGTGAGCCCCCGGCCTGGGAATCTGCTCGTCTGGAGCGACGTCAGGTGGCAAAGGGTGCGTTTCAGGGTGAGATCTGTTCAAGGGGGACAAATACTTTGGATCCTTTCTCACTGTTCTCTAGCTGTTACCAGCAAATTCCACTCCTGACCTCACACTTGGCTTGGTTCGAATGCGCTTTGCATTTCACCTGATATCTTTTGAACCTTTTTACTCAGACTGAAGCAGGAACTCCCTCCAGGTTCAAAGTGCTAGTGCTATCTTTGGGAATCCTGCTTTCCCAGGGGAATCCCGGGCGGGAACACACAAGCTGCCCTGCCCAGCAGATCCCTCCGGGCCCTGGGCATGAGAGACCTGGGAGAGGCAAGCCCGTCCTCACCAGCCGTGTCACTGTTGCCTGGCACGGGCGAGGCAGGTGAACATGCAGACCGGAGCACCTGCGGCCATTACCAAAGCCAGAGGCGCCTCCCAGGCTGGTGTGTTGTTCATGGTGAACGCACGGCACCTGTCAGCCGCAAGTGAAAACCCAGGGGTGGAGGGCTCAGGCCGAGGGCTCCCGGGAGAGCTCTGACTGAGGAAGTGGAAGGGGGTTGTAATAAGCTCACCATTCTGTTGGACGGAGATTCCTTCTGCTGCACACCACCAGGGAGAGCCCGGAAGCAGGGCTGCGGGTCTGCAGAGGAAGGGGGAAGGGCCATTCATTTGCCTTGCAGAAGCCAGGGCTATGGTTCGGGAGCTGTCAACTTCGCCGGCGCCGCAGGTGGAGGATTAGCCTATTGAGCCGCAGCGCCTGCCGGACTTCTTTCTGCTTTTTTGTATTTTCTGAAATCTTAAAGGGCTTGTTAATCAGTCACATCGAAAAGAAGATTCTATTCAGAAATAGTCTAAGACCCCAAATGGATAATTCATTTCCATATTTTCGTGAAAATTATATCTACTTCAATAAAAATTCATGATGGTAATCCTACTGAACATTCTTAAGCTGTTTTATGAATATTAATAGGCTGCAAGTCTGTTACTCAAAAAGTGCAATATAATGAAAGTATATACTGACAAATTTCTTTTTTTTTTATTTGACAGGCAGAGATAGTGAGAGAGAGAGACACACAGAGAGAAAGGTCTTCCTTTTTCCGTTGGTTCACCCCCCAAATGGCCACTACGGCCTGCGCGCTGTGTCGATCTGAAGCCAGGAGCTGGGTGCCTCCTCCAGGTCTCCCATGGGGTGCAGGGCCCAAGCACCTGGGCCATCCTCCACTGCCTTCCCAGGCCACAGCAGAGAGCTGGCCTGGAAGAGGAGCAACCAGAACTAGAACCCGGTGCCCATATGGGATGCCGGCGCCACAGGCGGAGGATTAACCAAGTGAGCCATGGCTTTTTCATCATACAGACATTTTTATTGTGCAAGAAATTTGTCGGGCGGGCGCTGTGGCTCACTTGGTTAATCCTCCACCTGCGGCGCCGGCATCCCATATGGGGACCGGGTTCTAGTTCTGGTTGTTCCTCTTCCAGGCCAGCTCTCTGCTGTGGCCCGGGAAGGCAGTGGAGGATGGCCCAGGTGCTTGGGCCCTGCACCCGCATGGGAGACCTGGAGGAGGCACCTGCTCTGGCTTCAGATAGGTGTATCTCCGATTATGGCAGCCATTTGGGGGGTGAACCAGCAGAGGGAGGACCTTTCTCTCTGTTTCTGTCTCTCACTGTCTAGCTCTATCTGTCAAATAAAAAAAGATACCCCTATTCTGAAAGCAGGAATAAGGAATATTGGGTGCATTTGAAAGCACAGCACAAACATCAAGGAATCTGAGCGATCTCCTGGAATTTGTTGTCATAGAACCTAACCAGCACCTGTTTGGATTAAAAAATAAGCCGGCGCCGCAGCTTACTAGGCTAATCCTCCGCCTTGCGGCGTCGGCACACCGGGTTCTAGTCCCGGTTGGGGCGCCGGATTCTGTCCCGGTTGCTCCTCTTCCAGGCCAGCTCTCTGCTGTGGCCCGGGAGTGCAGTGGAGGATGGCCCAAGTGCTTGGGCCCTGCACCCCATGGGAGACCAGGAGAAGCACCTGGCTCCTGTCATCAGATCAGTGTGGTGCGCCGGCCGCAGCGTGCCGGCCGCGGTGGCCATTGGAGGGTGAACCAACGGCAAAAGGAAGACCTTTCTCTCTGTCTCTCTCTCTCACTGTCCACTCTGCCTGTCAAAAAGAAAAAAATTAAAAAAAAATAGGGTCACTGTTATTCAGCCATAAATTTGAATTAAGGGAGGAATGTATTAATGTGTTAAAGTGTTGCAGTGTTCCTGGGAAGTGCATATCATGGACATTGTGTTCTGTAACAGCATTGGCCCAAATTAAGTTCCATGGAATCATTATCTGGTGAGAGGTCTTGGGAGTGACCTGAGACCAGGTTCAATGACCGGAGACGTTCTGTGAACCCTGGGTTAATGCATTCAGCAGGCTCATCCCTGCGTGCCCTCGGAGCCTTACACGTATTGATTTTCATCCTGAGTCTCTGAGAGGGATGCCTTTGCCCAAAGCCATGAAGCTCATCACTCTTATCTCCCATAAAGGAGACTTCCCTCTGGGATATGCAGGGTCCCAGGCACACAAAGATGCATTTTTATCTTTTCAGTGTTTTGTTTCGAGGTCATGAGACATAGTGCTCATCTCTTTTGTAACCAAAGGGGAGTTTTATGAACTTGAAGCCCACATACAGATCACAAAACAAGATTTAATGGGCCATGTTAGGCGGAACCAAGGCCTGGTTGCCACCGCTGGGTTGTCTCATTCCAAGGCATTCCCTGGCAGGAGCTGGGCTTCAGCAGACCCCGAAGACCAGGAGGGACTTTTGAGCTTCACACATGCCCCAGGCTGAGGACTGGCATGCAACTCTGACTCCCCCTGTCCCCAGCACGCGCACACGCCCTTTGCTGGCATGCGAAGCAAGCTTAGAAAGGATAGGAAAAACCCAACCACAAAACCCACATTCCTTTCAAGGGCTGTCTGTGTACCCACCTTGCACCTTTGACTTCCTCTCTCCCGCAAACACACATTTTCCAGGCTTTGTTTAAGGAGTCCGGGATTCAGGTCCGCCCTAGCAGGCCCCAGCTGTTCCTCTCTCGGGGCCTTCATCTGTAAAGTGGAGCTGATGAGCCCTGGGTCCTGCCGAACCTCCAGCAGTGTCCAAAGGGGAAGGCATCCTCTCCTGCTCCCTGTGCCGCTGCCTTAGCCAACCATTGCCATCTCCCCAGACACAGGGCTCCTAGAGACCACAAAAGGGCAGAAGTAATGATGGGTGAAAAAGATGCTGACATGGAGCGGGCACTGTGGTGCAGCGGGTTAAGCCACCACCTGCAGTGCCAGCATCCCATAGGGGCACCAGTCCTGGCTGCTCCACTTCCAATCCAGCTCTCTGGGAAAGCAGTAGAAGATGGCCCAAGTCCTTGGGCCCTTGCACCCACATGGGAGACCCGGATGCAGCTCCTGGCTTCAGCCTGGCCCAGCCCTGGTTGTTGCGGTCATCTGGGGAGTGAACCAGCTAGTAGAAGATCTCCCTGTCTCTCCCTTCTCTCTGTAATTCTGACTTTGAAGTAAATGAATAAATCTAAAAAAAATAAAATTTTAAAAAGATGATAATTCACAAAGATGTTTAGTGCTCATGATATGTAAGAAAAAATTTTAAAATAAAAACTGTTAAAAATGGCAAAAGTCAGGAATGTCATTCATCAGAGAAGCAACACAGAGGATGGATGAGCAAATTGTGATATAGTTACACAGAGAAATACCATACAATACGGCAATAAGACTGCATGAAATTGCTAGATACAGTGATGTGAATTAATCCCAATCATTTTCTGTTGGGTGAAAGAATATAGGCATAAAAAGAAACACTGAATAATTCCATATAAAGTCCAAAAACTGGCAAACCTAACTGGGAATTAGAAGTCAGGATTGTGTACTTTTTTGTTTTTAAAGAAAGGGCTTATTTATCTACCTATTTGAAAGGCAGAGTTGCAGAGAGAGAAGGAGAGACAGATTTTCCATCCTCTGGTTCACTCCCCAGCAGCTAGGGCTGGGCCAGACCGAAGTCAGGAGCCAGGAGCTTCATCCAGGTCTCCTACGTGGGTGCAGGGGCCCAAGCACTTGGGCCATGCTCTGCTGCTTTCCCAGGTGCATTGCAGGGAGCTGGATGGGAAATGGAGCAGCCGGGACTGGAACTGGTACCCACATGGGATGCTGGCACCTCAGTCTGTGGCTTCACTGGCTACACAACAGCGGTGACCCAGGACTGTGTACTTTTGACTGGAGGGGAGTAAACAGGAGTGAACTGTCAGTACCAGGAGAGGCTCTGAAAGATATTTTGGATGTCTGGTGACCTTCTTCTTTTTTTTTCTTTTTTTTTTTAACTGCTACCGTGTACAACAGTAGACTCAGGCTGTGAAAATTCTGTGAGCTTTACATTTATGACTTTTGCAGGTCTCTGCTTTTATGTTCTATTTCAGTCAAAAGCCAGCTTGGAAAGTGACATAGAAAGAGATCCACATTGCCATGATATTTTTTGCTAAAGACTGATTTATTTGAGAGGCAAAGTTACTGAGAGAGAAGGAGACACACACACACACACATACAGAGACAGAGACAGACAGAGAGACAGAGCTTCCATATGCTGGTTCACTCCTCACATGGCTGCAACTCAGGGGCTGGGCCAGGCAGAAGCCAGGAGCCTGGAACTCCATCTGGGTCTCCCACGTGGGTTCAGGAGTGTCTGTCAAGTGCATTAGCAGGGAGCTGGAACACAGACTGAAGCAGCTGGGACTTGAACAGGCACTCTTATGGGATGCTGGTGTCGCAGGCAGCAGCTTAACTCACTGCCCCACAATGCTGACTCTGCCATAGTATTTTAAAAATGTAGCTTAATGGGGCTGGCGCTGCAGCACAATGGGTTAACGCCCTGGCCTGAAGCGCTGGCATCTCATATGGGCGCCTGTTCAAGACCTGGCTGCTCTACTTCCAATCCAGCTCTCTGCTTTGGCCTTGGAAAGCAGTAGAAGATGCCCCAAGTCCTTGGACCCCTGTACCCAAATGAGAGACCAGGACGAAGCACCTGGCTTCGAATCGGTGCAGCTCCAGCCATCGCGGCCAATTGGGGAGTGGACCATTGGATGGAAGACCTCTCTCTCTGTCTCTCTCTCTGCCTCTTCTCTCTCTGTGTAACGCTGACTTTCAAATAAATAAATAAATCTTTAAAAAATGTATCTTAATAGAGATGCACACTGTGTAGCATATGCTACCAGTTTTCGCCCTTAAAGCCGGTCAGACGAGTCTACTTGTACACGAATGACGTATCTTCAGGGACTGTGTAACTAGAGCCATGGAAGTGCTTACTTCTGGAGAGTGGGACGGGACAGAGTTTTATTTCTTACTTTGTGCCTGTTTGTACCTTTTGAAATTTTTTTTTGACAGGCAGAGTGGACAGAGAAAGAGAGACAGAAAGGTCTTCCTTTTCTGTTGGTTCACCCCGCAATGGCCGCTGCGGCCGGCGCTGATCCGAAGGCAGGAGCCAGGCGCTTTTCCTGGTCTCCCATGGGGTGCAGGGCCCAAGCACCTGGGCCATCCTCCACTGCACTCCCTGGCCACAGCAGAGGGTTGGCCCGGAAGAGGGGCAACCGGGACAGAATCCGGCGCCCCGACCGGGACTAGAACCCGGTGTGCCGGCGCCGCAGGCGGAAGATTAGCCTAGTGGGCTGTGGAGCCGGCCTGTGCCTTTTGAAATTTTAACTATGCACTTATATTGCCAATGCAATACATCTATAAATAAATCAGACTATAAAACCATGTGATCTCATATTGTGAAAAAGGACCAGTACTGTCAATATAAAAATGGTAATCATGTTTACCTCCAGGTAATGGCATTGTGAATGATCTTTATTTTTGAAAACATGTGGATAAAAAAAAAATCACTGTAACTTTTTTTTGCCAATTCGCTTTTTAATCAATGTCACTGAGGTGTTATTTGCATGCAGTAAAATGCACTAATTTCAAGTGCACCATCCAGAGCTTCACAGAAGTTTGCACACTCATGCCAGGTTTGCATCCTTGCACTCAACTTTCCTTTTTTTTTTTTTTTTAAAGATTTATTTTATTTATTTGAAAGGCAAAGTTATAGAGAAAGGCAGAGGGAGAGAGACAGAGAGAGAAAGTCTTCCATCCTCTGGTTCACTCCCCAAATAGCTGCAATGGCTGGAGCTGCGCCGATCCAAAGCCAGGAACTGGGAGCCAGGAGCTTCCTCTGGGTCTCCCATGCAGGTGCAGGAGCCCAAGGACTTGGGGCCATCCTCTACTGCTTTCTCAGGCCATAGCAGAGAGCTGGATTGGAAGTAGAGCAGCTGGGACTCCAACTAGTCCCGTACGGGATGCCGGTACTGCAGGCGGCAGCTTTACCTGCTCCGCCACAGCACCAGCCCCACATCTGAGATTTATTTAGGGTTTTGTGTGTATCAGAAAATCAATGTATTTTTTTAAGTGAAGAGTAATGTCTTAAGTGCTGCTACTTTGTGATCTGCAGAGTGAGACACCGTCCCTGTGGGAAATGGTCCTGTACAGCCCCTCCAAGCAAAGTCTGCTGCAGGCAGGAGTGATCTTACAGCCTTCCTGTCCCGGGAGGGGACGCTGCCTTCCCCCAGCACAGCCTGCCATCTCCTGCGGCAGCGCCCCAGTGTCTCAGGTAAGAGCCACCCTCGTTGCCATTGTTCTGTGGTGACAGCCTCCAGGGCAAATGGAAAGCTGTCAACCTGAGGGCTGTCAACTGCACACAAGAATTCCTTTCTTTGTCAGGCTGGGTGGTCTCGCTGGCTTGGGCATCGACCTGCACAAAAGAGAAGTGTGGTGTGCACTTGCAGGAAGCGCGCCCCCGCCCAGCAGCCCTAACCGCACTGCTTTGTGTGGCCAGGATTAGCCCGTGCATGGCTTCCCTTGACTGTGCAGAAGTCATCAAGTCCCAGCCCAGGAGGGGCATCCAGAGGTCGTTTGCTCCTTGCCCCCCCCATCCCAACCCCCACTCCCAGCATGCTGCCATCCTGTGGCATGGCATGCTGTGGCATCTGCCTGTTGCGATTCTTAGCCATAGACACAAGGAAGGTCCCTTACAGATCTCCTAGTCCAGCCCTCTTGGGCTACAAGAGGGGGTCAGACACAGGTGGTGACTTGTCGCACGTCACACGGCGCAAGACTTGGGCACAGACGAGACCCGCATTCTGTGAGCCTTCCTGCTAACTCCAGGCTGCTCCGGTTCAGAAATGACCCCGCCCCACAGTACTGTGGGAAGTACGGTCGCTACCTTTCCAATAAAAGGAGTCTCTGTGTGTGTATACATACGTGTGTGTGTGTGTGTGCATCTATGTGTACATATGTGTATTCCCCTGTGTGTAGATACATGCACACACGCATGTGTGTATATGTATGTGTGTGCCTGAATGTGTGCATGCATTTGTACATGTGTGTGTACGTCTCTGTGTATGTCTGTGTGTGTGTTTAAACATACACACTTGGTGGCTCTCCGACGGCCAGTGGATAAAGGCTTTCTTGTGTTTGCAGCCAGGGACACCTGAGACCTGGGTTGTTTGCCTGTGTTGTTTGTAGAATGGTTTGGTGCCCTCTGCTGTTTGTCAGTAACAATCCTTAGGCTTCCCAGACACCTGCTGTGTGGGACGGTCAACACACTCCAAGTTTGAATGCAGGGTAGGCAGTTTTATCCCCACCCTAAAGACAAGAAACCTGAGGCTCTGAAGCATTTAATAATCTGCCCAAATTGATCAAGCCTGGATTTGAACCCAGCCCAGTGGGGTTGTGGTTTCCTTCTTCTGTTCTGTGTCGATATACTCATCACAATCCTTCAGTCTTTTTTTTTTTAAGTCCAAAAGGCACAGAAACCGTTATCTCTTCTGTTGAGGAACAGTGTTTTTTTCTTCTTACTGTTTGTTGAACTCTATTTAGTGTAGGGTTAATCTTATGAGTACAAAGTAAACTGAAAGTAGATCATTGTAAAAATAAAAGTGGCGATAGGAGAGGAAGGAGGAGGAAGGGTGGGAAGAATCACTATGTCCCTAATTCTGTGTGTGGGGAGCAACTGCGACTAGACTAAGTTACTGGAATTAAGATTTATTCTATGCATCTGCTCTCCCACAATGTGGCGCGGAGAGAGGACCAAACAACTTCTACGCAGCTGCCTCTCGCCAGTTTGACTGATGAGCTGCAGGAGCTGATCCTGCTCCTGATTGGAGGAGAGCAGCGTGCTCGGCGTGTGGGTAGCAGAGTTGGGATTGGTGGAAGAGGACTATAAAGGAGGAGAGAGACAACATGCACCAGGAACACCTGAGGAACATCTGAGCAGCCCCCGAGAGAGCCGGCCGGCGGTGTGCCGCTCCTTCGCGGAAGTGGGGAAAGCAGCGGGGGGTGCTGCCCCTCCAGCAGCTAACCTGGGATGGCGTCGTCCTTCCACGAGTGAGCGAATGAGCAGCAGCTAACCCGGGAAGGGCCGGGCAAAAGAACAGCGCCGGGTCCTGTGTCGTTCCTCTGTGAATGGGGGAGCGACACTGTGTATATGAAATATATGGAGTTTGTATACCTTTTTTTTTTTTTTTTTTGACAGGCAGAGTGGACAGTGAGAAAGAGAGACAGGGAGAAAGGTCTTCCTTTTGCCGTTGGTTCACCCTCCAATGGCCGCCGCGGCCGGTGCGCTGCGGCCGGTGCACTGCGCTGATCCGATGGCAGGAGCCAGGTACTTCTCCTGGTCTCCCATGGGGTGCAGGGCCCAAGCACTTGGGCCATCCTTCACTGCACTCCCTGGCCACAGCAGAGAGCTGGCCTGGAAGAGGAGCAACCGGGACTAGAACCCGGTGTCCTGGTGCTGCAAGGCGGAGGATTAGCCTATTGAGCCGCGGCGCCGGCCGAAGTTTGTATACCTTAAATAAAGTTTTTAAAAAATCAGGAAAAAAAACCCTGAGAGACACAGAAACAGCACACACGCATCTGCTGGTTCACTCCCTAAACGCCTGCAAAAGCTGGGGCTGGGCCAGGCTGAAGACAGGAGCCGGGAGCCCCATCCAGGCCTCCCGCCTAGATGTCAGGGATCTAATCCCCTGGGCCATTGCCTGCTTCCTCCCAGGGTGTGCATTAGCAGGAAGCTGGAGCCAGGACTCGAACCCGGGTGCTGATACAGGACAGCAGCTTAACAACAGGCCAGATGCCTCCCCCCCCACCAGTCTCATACTGTGTAGCATCTGCCCTCAAAAGTGATTTATGAACATTTCCAAACCTGCCACAGAGTGGGTGGTGACACCCTTCTTTATCACATGTGGAGGCCCAGGCTGGGACACCAGGGACACCAGTGACATTCCAGTGAACCCTGTGCTGTCCATGGTGCCAGGCTGTTGCCCATAGCCGCATACCAAGTCCACAAGAGAACTCCTTTCCCTGGGCAGCTTCCAACCAGAAGAGGAGCTGGGACATTGCAGGGTTCACACACAGGGGAGCTAGGGTGCCTCTGGGCCTCCCCCATGCAGGCTGTCAGTAGCAAGGCAACTCCAAGGGACCCAGAGATAAAGAAACATGTTTTTAGCTCCTAGGGAAGTCACATCACCACCCATTGGATCCTTCAGATGCTGGGTAACCAAGCCCTGGGGGTGAATGCGTGAGTGCGTGGCCTGGAGGCAAGGTGAGGACCAATGGCTGAGGCCCTGTAGGCCGGGGGTGGGTGAGCTGCGGAGACAGATTTCGGTTTAGCTGGAGCGCTAATGGATAAGGCTGCTTCCTAGGGGTGAGCTCCAGGTCCCAGGCAGTGCAAGCAGAGTGCGGGAGAGCACAGTGGAGATGGGGTGAGGGGCTTAAGCCTGTGTTTTCTTTTCCTTTTAAGAATTATTTATTTATTTGAAAGTCAGAGTTACAGAGAGAGAGAGGGAGAGGGAGAATCTCTTATCAGCTCATTCACTCCCCAAGTGGCTGCAATGGCTGGGGCTGGGCCAGGCTGAAGCCAGAAGCCAGAAGCCAGGAGCTTCTTCTGGGTCTCCCATGTGGGTTCAGGGGTCCAAGGACTTGGGCCATCTCCTACTGCTTTGCCAGGGGTGTTAGCAGGGAGCTACGCTGGAAGTGGAACAGCCAGGCCGTGAACTGGAGCCCCTATGGGATGCCAGTGTCACAGGCAGCAACTTTGCCCACTGCACCACAGCCCCCTTATGTATGCTCTCTAACAGCAGCTTTTGGAAACTGGAAGGTTTCACAGAGCAACTGAGATGTTTAGCCCCTCCTTAACAATGCAGAGTGCTTGGCCAGGTGGGCCCGCTGCTCCCTGTCACTGCCGTCCCTCCCACTTAAGTGTCCCCGCAGTACTGAGGGTGAGTGGTGGTGCCAGGTCTCCTTGCACACGTCCTATTGTTTTTGTTATAAAATTTAAAAAATTTCTTGTCAGGTCAGGTCTTTTTTTTAAAAGATGTATTTATTTATTTGAAAGGTGGAGTTACAGAGGCAGGGGCAGAAGGAGAGAGAGAGAGAGAGAGAGAGAGAGAGAGAGAGAGAGAGAGAGATCCTTCATCAGCTGATTTACTCCCCAAATGGCTGCAAGGGCTGGAGCTGCACTGATCCAAAGCCAGGAGCCAGGAGCTTCTTTCAGGTCTCCCAGGCAGGTGCAGGGGCCCAAGGACTTGGGCCATCTTCTACTGCTTTCTTGGGCCATCCAGAGAGCTGAATCAGAAGTGGAGCAGCTGGGACTCAAAACAGCGCCCATATGGGATGCCGGCACTGCAGGCAGCAGCTTTACCCACTACGCCACAAGGCTGCATCTTGTCAGGTCTTTATCAAAACAGGAAAAACAAAAGACAGAGCCATTTGTTTTCATTAAAAATCAAATAAGAAAAATGAAGCATCCCATTAAAAATTAAAAATAGAGCTACCGTGTAATCCAGCAGTCCTGTTGGGAATATAACCAAGGCAGGTGAATGTCCAAGAGACTGCGTACTACATGCTGGCCATGGCCCCCTTGCGATGGCGCAGACACGGGCATACTGTCACACCTGTCCGGCTGACAGGACAAGGGCTGTGCTGTGTCTGTGCGCAGTGGAGATCCGGGTGTTTGCAATGACACTGAGGAATGTGGAGGACGTTACGTCAGCGGAATAAGCCAGACACAGATGGGCACTGGACGAGCTCACTTGTACGTGGCGTCTGAAGAAGCTGATCTCAGAGGAGCAGACGGCAGAATGCTGGAGCCGGGGTGCAGGACGCCAGGCAGGAGGAATGGGTACCGTGGCGACCATAGTTAACAGCAGGCATTTTGTACTTGAGAATTACCGGAAGGGTAGATTTTAAGTGTTCTCACTACAAAAGACAATCAATTAGCTTGACTAAGCCATGCCACAATGTATCCGTGTACCAAACATCATTGTTTCTTTTAGTCTAGCCTTTATTTTTATTTATTTTTTTAAAAGAATTTATTTATTTGAGAGGCAGAGTCACAGAAGAGAGGAGAGACGGAGGAGAAGTCTTCATCCACTGGTTTGCTCCCCAGATGGCCGCAACAGCCTGAGCTGGGCCACTCCAAAGCCAGGAGCTTCTTCCCCGTCTCCCACGGGGGTACAGGGCCCAGGCACTTGGACCATGTTCTTCTGCTTTCCTAGGCTTCTCTTCCAACACTTTCTTCCTACGCTGAAGTTGCTAGGTTCTTCCCTCCCCAGCCTGCCACAGTCCTCTGATGGCCTCGGCTGTGTCCAGAACGAGGCCTGAGCTCCCGCTGTGGTCTGCACAGCCCAAGGCAGCAGGATGTACCCCACCTCCCCACACCCTCCGTGCAGACCCCCGATCACATCTCTGCCGTCATGCCCACTGTCGGTGCCCTCCCAAGTCTGGGGGACACCCAGAGCTTCAGACTGTTGCTTTGTGAACGCTTCTCAAGACAGATCTTCCCCCGAGCTGGGGTTTGGCCTGGCTGTCGGGCTCACAGCCACACTGTGGATTGAGGTGCCTGGATTCCATGCCCACCTCCGCTTGACTCCAGCTTCCGCTGATGCAGACTCTGAAGGCAGCTGTGGTGGCTCAAGGGACCGGGTTCCTGCCACCCATGGGGGACACATGGACTGGATTCCTGACTTTCAGCTTTTGTCCCTAGTCCTGGGACATTGCTGGTGGCTGGGAGTAAGCCAGCGGGTGGGGCAGTGCCATCTCACTCTCCCCACCCCTTCTATCAGTAAACACATTTTTAAAAGGGAAAGATCTACTCCTGTCGGAACTGAAAATCACTTACTGAAGGCTGAACGTGCTCGTGGAGTCACCCAAGGCTGCCTTCCTCACACGACAAATCTTGGCAGAATGTTTCCACTGGAAGGAGGAAGCTCACCTTGACCCCGTGTAATTCTATATGTGACTCATTGGTCCGTTCTCCCAGGAATGGATCTTGATTTTCTCAAAAGACACTAATTGTCCTTTTCATTCATAAACTTGATTAGGATAGCTTCTATACTTTCATATGTATTGGCACGAACTCTGGTTATGCATTCTATTTACCAAGAAAGTGATCATTCTAGAGATCTTAGAAAATATGGAAAGCATGAAGAAAATATTCCAAATCCTGGGGCATACAGATATGTAAAGAACTCGCAAGGATGTGGAGAAATTGGGGCTATGGTGCATGGCTGGTAGGAATGAAAAATAGTTAAATACAGAGTTCTGTGTGCCCCAGTAACTCCACTTCGTGGTCCCTATCCAACTGAAAAGATAAATGTCGCTCCCCCTCTTCGTGGAGGAACGACACAGGACCCTGCGCTGTTCTTTGGTCTGCTCGGCCCTTCCCGGGTTTGCTGCTGGTTCTTCCCGGGTTGGCTACCGTCCCTCCACCTCCGTGGAGGGGCGGTTCCCCCTAGCCACTTTCCCCACTTCTGCGGGGGTGCGGCACACCGCCGGCCGGCTCTCTCAGGGGCTGCACAGGTGTTCCTTCAGATAGATGTTCCCCTTAGATGTTCCTCGTGCATGTTGTCTCTCTCCTCCTTTATAGTCCTCTTCCACCAATCCCAACTCTGCTACCCACACGCCGAGTACGCTGCTCTCCTCCAATCAGGAGTAGGTCCTACAGTTTATTGGTTGAACTGGAGGCAGCTGTGTAGAAGCTGTTTCTCCCTTCTCAGCGCCATATTGTAGGAGAGCAGATGCATAGAATAAGTCTTAATTCCAGTAACTTAGTCTAGTCCGAGTTGCTCCCCACAATAAACACATCCATAGAGAAACTGTACCTGACTGTTCATAGCAACATTATGCATAATAGCCAAAAAATGGAAATAAACCAATGGCCATCAATGGATGAGTAGATAACACAAACACAGTGTATCCCTACAATGGGATGTTATCTGTCAATGCAAAGATGAGCTGTCAGGCCGGTGCCATGGCTCACTTGGTTAATCCTCCGTCTGCAGCGCCAGCATCCCATATGGGCACCGGGTTCTAGTCTAGGTTGTTCCTCTTCCAGTCCAGCTCTCTGCTGTGGCCCGGGAAGGCAGTGGAGGATGGCCCAGGTGCTTGGGCCCCTGCACCCGCGTGGGAGACCAGGAA